GTTGCAAACGCGCCGTTAAAGTGCATACATTGTAATTCGTTATCGTTATCGCTATCGCTATGCTAAATATCGAATTTAAAGTATTAGAAAATGTGTGAGAGTAGTGAAAGAGCAACAGCAAATTACGTTAACTGTGATTACGAAAATGTCGAGGACGAAGGCATTGGCGGTGAGTTGAGGATGATAAAGCACATCGATAACTTATCGATAACGCCAAGGCGCTGACGTTTTTGGCATCACCATTTGCAGCCGTTCATGTAGATCATCGGCTAAGCAAATATTGTGCAAAATAAATAAAAACTCGCAGGCATTAACAACACAAACATTATGAGATCTGACCTAGAGCTCTGGCCACAGAATAAACAAATGACGAGCTAGTATATATAGAAAGATATATACATATATGTATATATATGTGTGTGTGCGTGTGTGTTTATGGCAACATCATATTTGCATTAGCATACTCTATAAATCAGCTGAGGCTTTATGGTTTCTCATATGCACTAGATCAGAATAAGTGTTGGTAAATATTTTAATATAAAGAAACTTAGAGAAGTTTGACTTGTCTCTCTCATTTTGAAACTGCTCCTAATTTAGTTTTCCGTTCAACTAAAATCGTTTCTAGAGCATAACTAATTTTCCACAATGAAAATGAGTTAACTGTAGCCCCATTGCATATTTTCTTTTCCGTTTCTCGATTTAGCATTATTCATCAGATTTCATATACAAAATGTCGCCTCTTTTTTTGTGGGCTGCCAACCGCAAAAAATACAATAAATACAGTAAATACTGTATATTATTATATGCCTCCTATATATATATATGTATTTATATATGCTTCACATATAATGAAATTATGAACAGTTTGCCTGTGACACACGTTCCGAGCCCTCATGTAATGATTAATTGGTAAATATTATATTTACGTTTGGCTTTGAGTTCGTTTCGACTTGTTTATTGTGCCAAATAAAGTGAAATACTATGAGGCACAAGCGACACGCGTTCCCAACTTATCTAAAAATAAGTATTAGAATTTGTGCCAAAAAGAAAAGATAAGTAAAAGCAAAACTGCGTTGCTTCGTTTGCTTTCAATTTGATTTGGAATCGCCGACCTTGAAATACGCCACGTCCAGTGTCGTACAAATCTATTTCAATGTGTAATACAGCCGAGTAAAGAGCGAACAGTTTTCCAAAGTGCAATGCTTCTCTCTGCTGTCAGTTGCCAGATGTCTTTGTCTTTCATCGATAGCTCAAAACTTTGCCTTCAATCATTTGTCTCGCTTGGCCTAACTCTTCATCTTTCTTAGCCTGATTGACATTCAGCAGACATTCGCATTCATTCGATATCCTTTCATCGCATTTCTTTCGCTCTTTCTTCGGCTTGTTCTTCTGTCTGACAGCTTCTTCCGCTCTGCGGTCACTTTTATTAGTTTCTTTCTGCCCAGCTTTACGCATTGTTTACAATTGCTAAATTGTTTATAAAACTCGCTTCGATTTCTATTTTTACATAAAATACATTTTTATTTTATTTACCACGCAAATTACAGTTTGAATAGCAATTTTCTGCAGAAAACTTCTTTTGTATTCTTTTTTTCTTCGTTTTTGCCCTGATTAATTACTCTGTAAATGTTCAATTCTTGGTAAACTTTCATGTTGAACGATTAATGGCTAAGGAAATAAAAAATATACTTTGACTTGTAAACAGGAAAATGAGCTGCATGAAAATGTCAGTGTTACTTAACTGCTATATTCTATTTGGATTTATAAGAGAGCTATAAAACAAGTTTAGTGTTGCATATGCTGAGGCAGAGGGACATAAAACAGTGTTGCGCAGTTTTAATGCAGTTAAGTGCGAAGTAGACTTATAAAGTGGTAACACTTATTTTATAATCTTACTTACTTACACTTACACTTTTAACTGAAAATCCACTAAATGCACATACAGTGTTGAGAAGCACTATAAAGTGTAAACTTTATATAGCTCTCTGTAGTAAAAAGATTGCTGCTTGCTGCTTTTCTTTTGCCCGTGGTCTATCAGGCATAAGGCTGTCTGCTATAGCTGGCCAATGTGACAGCTGTCGGCTACTTGTTTAGCTGCAATGTGGCAACGCCAAAGATCAAATATTGAAATGCAGATATCGCCAGAGTAAAAACAACTTTTCAGTTAATCAAATTTCAGATTTTCATAGATTATGATGTCAGCTTTGTTTTAAGTCAACATGTACAATTAAGATTTCCCAATTGATGATAATATATGTAGATATATATACTCTAGTGTATATAGTATATATGTATAGGTATATATGCTTTATATTATTACACATTTTGCGCATTTTCTTTTCTTTTTTTTCTTAAGCAATTTGTATTAATTCCACTTGACGCCCACAGTAAATGCCACCACGACTCTTCAATGGGGCGATTGTCCACACTAACTTGTGCGCTCTCTCTCTCTCTGTCTCTCCCTCTTTGTCTTTCGCTCACTCTTTCACTCTGTCATTTGCACTAAGCACTTGGCAGTTAAATTGCAATTAAAACAGTAAAACGCAGCTAAATAAACGGCGGGGAGCAATAAACCTAGGCTCCCCTTAAAGGCTAGCTGTCAGACCTCCATACCTCTTGCTCTCTTCCCCTCACGCTCCCCAGCCATCTCTTGTCTCTTTCATTTGCTGGAGACTAAACAGAAATCTCATGTTAAATTTTCAAGTGATTTTTTTTATGATTTTCGAAACGCAGCTAATTGAAATGCCAGTTGCAGTTGGCAGTCGCAAGTTTTCTAGTTTTTCAAATTTTCATTTAAAGCTTTTCGTTTGTGCTTTTTTTATAGTTTTAATTAAAGGCATTTTTTGCAATGACTTGCTCGTTGTTTTTGTTTGTTTGTGTGTGTGTTGCACTTTTGTGGGTCGCCATGGGCCAAGACAGGTTGCATTTTCCAAATGTGGCTAAAACAACAAATGCGAATTCGAATGCCTATGTGAGTGCGTATGTGAATACTTCATGAAGTTCACTCACTTGGGTGACAGCTACAGCTACTGCTGCTGCTGCTGCCTAATGCCAAATAAGATATTTCGGAATTTCAATTATTTTACTCTCTGTATGTGTGTG